CCGCCGTAACCCCAGAAACCCCATCACCAAACCCCCAATCCGACCTCCTCTCTTTCCTCTCCCTCCCCAATTGGTCCCAAAACCCTAGCTTCCTTAGCCTCGCCAAAACCCTAACCCCGGTCCACGTCACCTCCGCCCTCCAAACCCTCACCCTCGATCCCCCCACCGCCCTCTCCTTCTTCGATTGGATACCCCGCGTAAACCCTAATTACAAACATGCCCCTCAGTCCCACGCCGCCCTCTTCAAAACCCTAATTCGATCCAGATACTTCTCCCCCCTGAGCAATGTTGCAATTCGAATGATTGGCAGCTGTGACTCCCCTAAAGATTTGATCTTTGTGCTGAATTTGATCATTGAAGGTAGTGCCGGATTCATCCCCTCGATTCGATGCTACAATAACCTACTGATTGCTTTGTCTAGGTTTAGAATGGTGGACGAGATGGAGGTTGTGTTTCGTTGTGTTAGGAAAAGGAATATTTTGCCGAATGTTGTCACCTATAACGCTATGGTTGATGTTTACTGTAAAGAGGGGAGGATTGCAGAGGCTAGGGTTTACTTTAGGTCGTTGGTTCAGTCGGGGTTATGCCCGGATGTGCATACGTATACATCATTGATGAAAGGGTACTGTAGAACAAAGAGAGGCGAGAATTTGGATAGGGCTTGTTGGGTACTCTTGGTTTTGTTACCGGAGAAAGGATGCTCGAGGAATGTCGTTTCTTATACTGTTTTGATTGACGGGTTATGTAAAGTTGGGAGGTTGAAGGAGGCTTTTTGGTTGTTTTCGTCGATGGAGAGTGATGGGTGTTACCCCGATGTACATAGTTATACTGTGGTTATCGATAGTTTGTGTAAAGAAGGTAGAGTTAAGGATGCAGAGACGAAGCTGAATGAGCTTTTGGAGAGACGTTTTGTGCCGAATATTGTCACTTACAATGCTCTGATTGATGGGTATTGCAAAATTGGGGAGATTGATGCGGCTTTCGGGATACTGGAGTTAATTGAGAAGAAGGGGTTGAGACCGAACGTTAGGACTTATAGCGAATTAATTCATGGGTTTTGTAGGGAGGGCAAGGTGCACAAGGGGATGGCTTTATTGAATAGAATGATCGATGCAGGGATATCACCTAATGTTGTCACTTATACCATTTTGATTCAAGGGCAATGTAATAACGGTTGTTTAGATAGTGCATTTCGGTTGATAAATTTGATGGAAGGGAACAGTTTGGTTCCTAATGAAAGGACTTGCTCCATTCTGATAGACGCTCTTTGTAGATGTGGGAGAGTTGATGAAGCTGTTGCATTCTTCAGATCCCTTGAGAAGAAGAGTGTTGCCGTAAATCATGCGGTATATACTTCATTGATAAATGGGCTTGGTAAAGCAAGAAAGCTTGAGCTTGCCCGTTCTTTTCTAGAGGAGATGAATTCAAAGGTGAAAGTACGAGATCCTTTTGCTGACAGTGCTTTGATTGATGCTTTGTGTAGAGAGAAAAGACTGCAGGAAGCTATGAGAGTACTAGATACAATGCTGGAGGAAAAGATTGTTCCCACAGTTGTAACTTATACAAGTCTTGTTATTGAGATGTTCAAAGAAGGAGAATTTGGAGAAGCCCAAAGAGTTTTGGAGCAGATGGTTTCTTCAGGGTGCAAGCCAGATGTAGGCATTTATACTGTGTTAATTGGTAGTTGTTGCTCACAAGGGAGTCCAGAGGAAGCTGAATCTGTTATTTCATTAATGAAAGAACAAGGAGTTTTCCCAAATCTGATCACTTACAATACACTAATTGATGGATATGGAAGATTGGGTTTGGTTGATCGAGCTTTCTCTGCTTTCAAGAGCATGATAGAGGCTGGATTTAAGCCCAATGGTGATACGTATTCTCTTTTACTCAGAGTTGTCTTTAAAAAGAGATCGTCCACTGGTGTCTCAGTTTGCACTGTTGATATGTGGAAGGCTTTAAAGATGGATGATGTGCTTGAGCTTATAAAGGAGATGGTAAAACATGGTTTCATACTTAGCAGTGACACCTATAACACTCTAGTGACAGGATTCTGCAAAGTTGATCGGCTAGAAGAAGCAAGACTTTTGTTCACTCACATGAAAGAAAATGGTTTGTCTCCCATTGATGATGTATATACCTCCATCATAGATTGTTGCTGCAAATTGAAAGAATATTCAGAAGCATTGGAACTTATAAATTCTGCTACCAGGAATGGTCTGCTTCCAAGATTGGAGTCTTATCAGCTCCTTTTGTCAGGCCTTTGCGATGAAGGGAATTTTGAGCAGGCGAAATTAGTCTTTGAGGATTTACTTTCCAGGGACTATAATTGTGATGAAATTGCATGGAAAATTCTTGTGGATGGATTGCTTGTGCAAGGGCATTCAAGTATATGCTCAGAGATGTTTTCTATCATGATGGAGAGAAATTGTTGTTTTAGTTCTCAAACACATGCTCAGTTGGTTAAGGAATTCACTGATGGCAGCAATGGAGGTGTAAAGTGACATTAAGCTTGGATCTCCATTAATTCCTATATATGATGAATCCATTATTTGCCAGATGCTTGGATGAGATGCACTGTCTCTGTGCATGCTGAGGAACACTAAAAGTCAAGTTCCCGAGGCATCTGTCAATATTTTGGTGACTCTGCAAAGGCAGGCAAGTCATCCTTCCATCATTTTTCATGTTCTTTTGTTCTTCGATGTAGTAGCACAAATTGTAAATCATTCTTTCTTTCTTCGATGTAATAGCACAAATTGTAAATCATTCTTTCTTTCTGTGATGTTCTATATATTACTTTCGAACTTTATAACATTATTCAAAAAATAAAATGTACCTCTTTTTATTTCAACTTTGCTAACTATCACCTTCACCTTGTTCGCCTTTATGTCTTTTGTACACTGTCATGGTTTTCTGAATCAAGCAGTACAGGAAAACATGCCATTACCCAGGGGCACAAATTCATGGGTATTCAGTACCATCACCCACAATTTGTTGTGGGCATTAGCTTCTTGGGAATAGACTCTAATACCCAGGACTGATCTGTGTATAATAATCAATTCAACATTTTTCCTACCTATAATTACATCTCTAGTAACTTTCAATTCTCTAAGAAAATTTATTGATGTCAATGTCATCTCAGGTGTTCCATCATCTCCATTGACTCTTAGGAACTTTCTAAGCTTATTTGGCTCTTCGGTTTGTAAAATGTATTAGAGATGAATGATTTACCTTTAGCAAATATTCCACCTCTCCTGTTTTTCCTACTTCTGTCTGGAAGAATTATCGATGATTGCTCCTTTTCTGCATGAGCTTAAAATGCACAATGAATAAGGGTGGTCTTCACGCAACTATTTTTTCTATTATGTCTGAATAAAAAGGATTGCTCCTGCAGGTGTACTTATTTTTCAAAGTTGATTGGCATGTTTTAGTTATCGAATGCATTGCTGGAGATCCAGCTCTCTGAAACCTCTGGTGGTCAGGCTCCTCACTGACTATTGGATATGGGAATTTACTCGTGATCTCTTTTGCTATCATATATCATAACTTGCATTGCATGAATATGCCACGCTTTAGGTGACTAGAACCAGCAACACTTCTGCAGTTCTGCTTCATCTACGGACCAATCTATCTATATCTATATCTATACTACATATAAAAGAGGATTGGGGTGCTAAAACTTTTGATTGCCCTTTTCACCCCTCTTAAATATAATAATCCAACTTCAGTTATTTTATTTATTTAATCTATCTCAACTCTCATTAAATGAGTCTTAAATTAAATTAAATTAAATTAATCTATATCTATACTTTTTATAAAAGAGGATTCTCATATCAAAACTTTTGATTGTCTTTTTTGCCCTTTCAATCAAAAGTATTGATATAAGAATCCTCTTTAATGCATCAATTACTCAGTTACTAAATTAAAATATCTAAAAGATATCCAACGGTCTCTTAATCAGCCTTTCAAGCTATACATAGTTGAAGAACGACCTCTGGTTTACTAGCTAGCTGGTTAGCATGCATTCTCATTTAATGTAATTGTGATGTTGGAACAATTAACCCTAACTTAATTAAGTGTAGCCCATCAAATCCATTGAGCTATAAGATAAAGAGCAGACCTTGATATCTATTAGATGTCTAAATTCTTTTATCCTCTCTCTCTCTGTCTCCCCCTGAAACAGAAACCTTCCTTCACTTTATTGTCACCGGTCGTAATGTCTCATCAACTCCCTAACTCTCTCAATTCCAAATCAATTGAAGTATTAAGTTTACAAATGCTTGGACTCCCTATAAAGCTCTCATCTTTGTTGAATTTTTATTCAGAAAGAAAACCCCTCTTCTTACTGTGAGAAGCGACTCTTCAACTTTTTTTAGTTTTTATTTATTTCTTTTTCATGTTCTTACGAAATTCTTAGATTGGATCAATTATCCATTACAATTAGTTTTGATTGTGAGTAATAATTTTTTATTTTTTTTATTTTACGCAGTGCCTAGGAGAAATAGGAATTTGAGGTTGGTAGGACAACCGATTTCTCAAGGTAACTTCCTGTTTACTTTTACCTTTTTGTTTCTCTTTTACGCAGTGCCTAGGAGAAATAGGAATTTGAGGTTGGTAGGACAACCGATTTCTCAAGGTAACTTCCTGTTTACTTTTACCTGAGGTTGGTAGGACAACCGATTTCTCAAGGTAACTTCCTGTTTACTTTTACCTTTTTGTTTATCTTGATTTTGATGATTTGTTTTGTTTGCACGTTGTACGTGATTCCATTGTTATTATCCTATAAATAAGCACGTACTACAGAAATCAGTAGATTAAAAAAACCACACTTCAAATAAATTTTCTTTTTTCCAATTTTATCACATTTAAATATATCTATTGTAACTCTCTTTTAAGAATTCTAAAGTTTGATAATCTGACTAGACTCCTAATGATGTTAGTCTTGATTGAAACAAAAAGAAAATTTTAAGATATGAACCAAATAAATGATTAGATAGAAGGCAACTCGAACCAGTAAAAGGATCTAAAGAGGGACAACATATAACAATTGAGGAATAATTGAATAAGGCAACGATTTTTTTCCTCCTTGCATTTATTCTGCTAGAGTTTATTGGATCAAGCTAAATCAAAGTTGATCAGTGTCTTCTCTAATTGTAATCGCATTTTGTAATGTTACTTTACAGAGCAATATGTGCTACTTCCTTCAATATCCGGCGTCAGAAATGAGGCACTGCAGCACACATTTTGCTTCTCAATATGATTAAAAAGCTGCCTAGCTCCAATACATGTGGAAACTAAATTTTACCTAATAAAAAACGTTATACCTGTTAGGTACTAAATTATAGGGTTGGTAGCAGGGACTATGGTTTGCTTACACTGATGCAGAATATCTTTAGTGCATGATATCTATTTAGGTAAGGAAATCCTTTGCCTTGGTATTGAATTCTGCATACATGCAATAGTTGAATATACATTCATACAGCATATAATTCTAGAATGACCTTGATTTCCTAACGAGATTTTTGACTTAGAACAGCAAATGTATGTTCCAAATTTAAGCTAGATACTCACAATTTTCTAATTGTTGAGTATGTGTTTCATGATTGCATCCAAATATCCAACATATGACAGGTCTGTAATTCTATTCTCCCCATCAAACAGTTTGATACACAATAATTAAGGTTAAGATGTCCTGGAAAAAAACTGCTAAATTTTATTACTACCTCAGGTCTGTTAACATGGGAGTGTCAACTCCGTTTATAATATTGTTTATGTGAAAACATGCAATTTTGGATTATAAAAATTAAGTTGTTGTCTGCTTGCTATATTGGATCATCTACAAACATATATAAAACATTCTTACTGAGCGCAAGTTGTTTATTCTCATAAAAATCTTTATAAGTCAGTTTTTAACATTCTTAGTGAGTGCAAGTTGTACATAGTTATATATAAGTATGTACAACTTATATCTTTGCTAGGTTTGCAATCTTGACTCTTAGTGTGCATATATCTAAGAGTACTTGTATCATTAAATTATTTGCTAGCACACGCAATATTCAATGTTAAAAATAGATATATAAAATAGCATTGTGATTTTGGGTGGAATATTTTGTTTAAGCAATTTGTTGGCATCTGATAAATTAGTGAACAAAAACAATAAAAGATCCAGATCATTGGTGCTATATAGAATATATATCTTTAAAGGTTATCATGGAATCTTATGAGCAGATTTGAAATTTGAGATAGATAAATTTACACTCTGGACAAGTTCACAAAAAGACATTTTAAGAGGAATATTTGCAATAACTGAATATGTTCTTGATACTAGGTAGGTAGAGAGAAGCTTTTGCTAAGTGGTTACCCTTCACACATTTATTCATTCATTATACCTATGTGAATTTACAGACAAGTTTTGGGATTTTAGAGCTATGATATATACCAAAACAACTCGAAATGATTTTTAAAAAGTATTATGAGGGTTACACATGATAAAGGAATATATGTTAAAGATGGAAAAAGGCTTAAAGGACTTTGGATAACTCGCATCAATTAATTTTTCCTATTTTGTTCATTAAAGTTTATTGTGTAAAGTGTTGCTGATATTAAATGTGATCTCACATTTTATTTATGTTTTGTGTTTTATATTTATAATTATATTTTATTTGATGATTTCATAACTGATGAAAAGAAAGTGCACGTCACGTAAATCAGTGTCAAACCTATTACAAATAAAAAATGGCTAAACATGGTACAATTATCAAATTTCCTTCAAGCGTGGAAGAAGATCCGTCGATAGAAGAGTATTATGATGATGAGGAGGAGAAAAAGCATACGAAGGGAAGAAACGAAGGAAGATAGAGGCTTTTGATTCAGATTACAAACCTAGCAAAGATGAACATGAGAATTTCAAGGAAATGATAAATTTCCTTCGTGGTGATGTCCCTACTACTAGGAGTTAAGATTTCTAATGCTGTGTCCTCTTGCCTGGAAAACCGTAACATAATTAAAGTTGGAAATGAAGAAGATCCTGAGAATGCTTTCAAGAAAGTGAAGACCGTGCTTGCAGCTGCTGGTAAATACCGTCAAGAACAAAGGAAATTGGTCAAGATGATCTCGTAAAAACTAATATTAACTAAATAAAATAATGGAGAAGAAGGCCCATTAGGATTAATGTGAGAGTGTGTGTTGATGGGGTCTTTAGTCTTTTGTTAGTCGTGTGAAAGTGTGTGACATTTTGTCATAATATAAGAGATGAGTCTGTATATATTAAGAAAATTATAGCTTCATGATTGTGCTCTATTTAGAATTTCTGATGATTAATTTCAGCGTAATTCATCTTCAAGAATCTTATTATAAGTGTTTAATTCATGCATTCTAATATCCATGTCAATGAAACATGAAATAAATTCATTAGTTTTTTAAAACAAGGGTTTTTTAATATTAGTCCCTTAAATATTTCATATTTGAAATTAGTCTATCAAATCATGAAAATTGCTATAAGGTCCCGCAATTCTTAGGTTGTTTTGAAATTAGTCCCTCATAGCATGGAAATTACTATTAGGTCCCCCAATTCATAACTTATTTGAAATTAGTCTCTCCAATCAATAGTAGAAGTAGCAATTGGATAGATTACCAAGTAAAATTTATTATTGTGGACTATCAGCTCCTCCAGTTTTCATAATTTATTTTAAACTAATCCTAATAATTTCTATTTCAATTCTTGATTGGAGGGACTAATTTCAAAAGAAGTCAAAGTTTCGGGGAACCTAATAGCAATTTCCATGAATTGGGGACTCATTTTAAAATAACCTAAGAATTGAGGGACCTAATAGCAATTTCCATGATTTGAAGGATGAATTTTTAAAATATGAAAGATTTAAGGGACTATGATAAAAAATGCCAAAATTAATTGTGTAATCATTGTCTACGACTGTTTGTATAATTACTTACGTTCTTTATACAACAGTAGTAATAATAACAAACTATAATCAAATTAGAACATAAAATAATTATATAGACATAAATAATTATAACATGCATCATGTGCAATGCACGTATTGCATACTAGTTTATTGTAAATGTGCGATGTTGTTTTTGAAAATATTGTCCTTGTCATCTAATGCTCAGTTAGTGTATTTTTCCCACAGTAACAGCATGAATCTGTCTTCACATGAGCTGTAGTTAAGCTGACAGATACATGGAGAAGGTAACCAAACCAGCATGACATCATGTTTATTGCTGCTACAGTGTTTTATCTGCCTTAGACGTGTGTGATAACTATATTGACCAAAGTTCTAGTCGTATTATTTTAGCTATTTTTGGGTTTTTGATGCCTCAAACTGTCCCTTCAATTTGGTAATTGATATTGAACGTTGATGTTCAGGAAAACCTTCCTCCTTTACTATTATCTTCATCACAAATAAGCATAGGTGTGTTTTTTTAGTTGCTTGAAGTTTACTGTTAAAGTAACCGAGTGAAGAATATAACCATAGGTGTGGTCCTTTGAGTTGAGTTTACTGTTAAGAGACCCGGTGAAGGATATATGTATTTGCTTCCATGTTAAAGAACAAACTTGTGATTTGGACAGACTGTTATGCTGATGAATAGCAGGTTCTCGGACGATCGTAATTTCAGAATTGTTATTATACATGTGCATCTTCTCTTTCTGATCATTTTTGTGTTCTTTTCTTCCCAGATCTATTACTTTGCCAATTTTAATTTCTAGTGACAATTTTGAAATATTCACAGATTATCCTTCCCCTAAAGTTAGGAACAAAGCGAAAAGATGCCCTCTTCGATATTGAGAAATTGTGTAGATCATATTCTGGTACAGCTTCTGATCCAAGGGTGGCTGTTAAGGTATTTTAATTGTCACCTCTCCTGCTGCTATTATTCAACGCAAGTTCAATAATTTTTTTGGATTGTTAAAATGTGTCCTGGAGTCCATGACATGCATAATGTACCCCTGAGAGATCATGGGATGTGCTATACAATGTATACATTTGCCATTTTCTATTACTAGATGACATAATGATTGTAAAACAAGCATGTAGAAGGTATTTGCTCTGTTTTAGATTCCCTTCTATTTTTCCTTTTGCACTAATGTTTGCTCAATAATTGCACTAAATAACTTTTTCAGTTATATGATAATTTTCCAAGTTATGTACACAATTCTGGCTGATAATCAGGATATAGTCAGATCTATTTGACAACTTAAATTTTTACCAGATCATAATTGATTTATGCAGTTAGGTCTAAAAGACTTCTTATGTTTATTGAAGCAAGACATGCAAAACTACATTCTATCTAAGCATGTCCTAAATCAAATGAGGAAGAACATGAATTGGTTTAAAATAAGTTCAATCCAATTAAGGGACTGCACATTTATTGTTATATGAGTTCTTTTTTTTCCTTTAGCTTTTAGGATTTGATTGTCGAATGAGAGAGAAATTTGCCTTGCAAGAGTGCATTGTATGGCGTTGTTTACGTGTCGTGCTGTCATCGATGCTTATTTTCTTTAAGTACGGAAAATCAATCTTTTGTAACATCAATGTTCATGTGTTTCTTCTTGTACTTCCATTAAGTTTATATGTTGTAATTGTGTGATGCAGGACTTTTTGCATGAGGAGCCTTATACTGCAGAGGGAATTGAAAGAATCACACGAGAAAGTCTCTCCTCGGTCTTTGCGAGCTCACAAATTCAATGTTTCAACTTTCAAGTTTAAGTTGTTTCAGGTACTTAGTTTTTCCGATAACTGTGCTTTAGCATCAACAACACTGATGTTCCGAAGAAGTCTCCACTTTTCAGTATGTGATACTGTATTGTGGTAGAAATTAGATACTATAAAAATGGGATGCAGAAATATATGAATGATCCTCAAGGTGGTCATAAGCCTTGTGTTCAGGCATTTGTTGCTGACCAGTTTGACGAGAATGATCCTCAAGGGCGCATATCTGAGAGTTTATGAATCACAAGTTAAACCCAAATATACTTTATTGAACAAAACTAAATTTGTATCAGGTAACCTCTACTTTTATGTTTCATGTCGTATATGGAGAAATATATCAATGATCCTCAAGGTGGTCCTAAGCCTTATGTTCAGGCATATGGTGATGACCAGTTCGATCAGAATGATCCTCAAGAGTGCATATCTAAGAGTTTACAAATCACAAGTTAAACTCAAATATGCTTTGTTGAGCAAAACTAAATGTGTATCAGGTAACCTCTACTTTTATGTTCCTGTCGTATGGGATGCAGAAATATATGAATGATCCTCAAGGTGGTCATAAGCCTTTGTGTTCAGGCATTTAGGGCTGCACACTTTGATCAGAATGATCCTCAAGAGCGCATATCTAAGAGTTTACAAATCACAAGTTAAACCCAAGTTTAGTTTATTAAACAAAACTAAATTTGTATCAGGTAACCTCTACTTTTATGTTTCATGTCGTATTAGATGTTGTTCATTATGATTTTTTTTAAATATTAGTATGTTTGTGTTTTACTTTTACTGACATATTTATACATACATATTAGATGTGGCAGGTCAGTTACTTATCCCTAGTACTGCATATAAAATATTAAAATTTTTGTTATATTATTTGCATATAATAAAATATTTTTATTATTACCAAACCAGTACATGTCAGGTGCATGAACTAAGAATATAGTCTAGTTCCATTATCTGTTTAGTATCATTGGCCATTTCATGAGTTTAACTGTAATATAACTCGAACTCTTGAACGGATAGAATTCAGAAACTAAAAATTGCTCTAATTGACGAACCGAAAAATTAGTTTTATTAAAATCAATGCGACAGTTTTGCTCCTGTATAGGATCCCATCCATGATTCATCTCAAAGTTTCATAAACCCCAATTCAAGTGGTTGAGGCTGTGTTAAAAGTATCAACAAAGGAAAGAGTTCAATGTGCAAGCTAGCTGGCTAATCAAAGAGCCTTTTATCCAGGCACCAACTCCAAGTTCCTTGTAATGCAAGTTTTGATTGTTAGCATTGGATATTGTTTATGTGATTAAATGTGCTTATTGGCATGATAATATAACTGACAAGACCTTTTTTGCTCGCAGGACATAATTAGGTCTTATCAGCGTTGGAATTTTGGAGTAGAGACATTGAGAAGAAGCTAATCTAGATACGGATTCTCATAGTATTATCCGTTTTTCAATCATTTTGAGATTCTATTGTATCTTGACTAGGAATGCTCCTCGCAGAAACATGCAGTCTTTCAGGTGCCATTGAAGTGTGTACATGATACAATTCAATGTTATTGTTGTATTTGCGAAAATATTTGATTGCGTGGTTTTATAGTGTTTGCATTTGTTAAATTGATTACCGGCAAATTATCACCAATATATATAACATTTTTGTTGAAAACATTTCACAGGGAGTACTGCAAATCTAAAGCGAGCATTTTCCAGTAGCGGCGTGCTCTTTCGACTCTTTTGAAGAGAAAGCACCCAATAATAAAGACTCATTATATTGGCAGCATTTGATGTAAGCGCAGGTAAATCTCCACAATCCTACTGCTTTTGATATAGTATATTGATCTAGTTATTTAATTTGGAAATATTCTCTTAAATAAACTTTCTCGTATTACATTACATCGTGTGCAAATATCACTGAACTTTTAACTCTGACATTGCATTTGTTTCTAATTCTACGCGTAACTTTTAAGTGCCTAATGCTCAAGATATGCTAGGTTAAAGATCATATTCAGAAGGAAAAATGTTTGCAGGGAGGTGAAAGAATGATCGTCATTGTAAGAATGTTGTTTAATATCTAGAATTTTAATGAATTTGGGTTTCTTTTTGAATATATAATTTTAACAGGGCAGTTGGGATTATCTATGAACTAAAATCCAGTATGATCTAATGTATGATTTTGAAGCCTAAAATAAGTACTTCATGTGGCACAAATGTAGGTGCTATATTAAGATTGGCTGTATATTTCTATGTGGATAACAGATCATAAGTTTGTCCATAAGAACTCGGTTCTGAGGAGAAGGGCAAGATCAAAGTCTACGATGATGAAGGAAGCAATTGTTTAGTGATAGGCTCAAAATCATATTATTGTGTAATGATCTTGCTCTGGTGTACAAAAGGGTAACCATGCTTCATGCACAATATGAAACCCAAAAACTGAAAGGTGAATTCGGTCCGGATATAGCTCAGATATATTTACCATATTTATATCCGCTTACCCATCATGAATACGGATATGGATACGAATATGGAGATACCTCAGGTCAGGTCCGCTAAAATCGGATACGGATACGGATATACGTGTAGATATATAAGCATATATGCATGCAGATACAAAATGAATATGAGAAAACTAGATAATATTGCAACATATATATATATGAGATTAATGGGTATCCTTGTCATAGGAGGAGATTTCCTCCTTGACGCATATGTGGCACAATCTCCACCATCCTCATAAAGTAGGAGAGAGAGTGTAAGTTGGTAGGGATTTGTGTCTACTTTATGAGGATGGTAGGGATTGTGCCACATAGGCGACAAGGAGGGAAATCTCCTCCTATGACAAGGATACCCATTAATCTATATATATATATATATATATATATATATATATATATATTAACATGTGATACAAAAGAGTTCATTAATATGTTCATTATATCTGAAAAGCTAGGATTAGACATCTTCAACATCAAGATTAACATCAGGTCCATAATCTAAGGATTAAAACTATTGTAATAGTATGACTAATATGTATTTGGATATTCTGGATATGGATTCGAATATTTCACTACAGAACCATATCCGTAACCATTTCCATATATATATATCCATATCCTAGCGGATATGGTTATGGATATTTTCTCGGATACGCATACGGTTTAACACTCTTACCTAGAACGTATCCCGAGCTAGATATTGTTGCTTTTCTTTTTCTTGAGACAACAATTACTTTTGAAATGATTAAAGTCAATTAACTTCATGTACAAATACTACCAAGTCCTATTTCAGGTGGCATCCTATGTTTGATCTGTTTCTGTGCAAGCCTAATGCTCAAGATTTGCAAGGAGGTGCAAGAATGGTTGCCATAGAGTATGAATTTTGTTCAATAAACATCGACAACCTTTGATGAATATGATACTCTTTTCCTTCACGTATGAATTAAAATCTGTAGTGATATAATGAATGTTGTTTATGACTTCTCATCTCTAAATCTAATCAAAATAACCAAATCTCCAATACTGCATATGCATGATTTGGAAGCCTGAAATAAATTATACTCCTACGAAACAGTATTTATTAATTAAAATCAGATGACATGCTTCATTTTCATATATGATTTTTTTAATACTAAAAAAACGTTACTGTACGGAACTTATATAGGTTGCTTTCTATATAATTTTAGTAATAATTATGGTCAATTACTAATTAATCGTAATGGCTTGCTGTTGATTATGGAGAACATATTCATGTTTGATTTTATAATTTTTACCCCCTTTTCTGCAAGCCAAGGTGGCTTACATGGTTGGTCTGATTTTATCTGGTAGACTTTTGTAATTTTTTAAACGATTCTAGAAATTTAATGTGTGCAAATGCAAGTGTTATGTAAGTTTTTGCTATTGCAATTTTAATTTTATTAGATATTAGATATATATGAAAAATGTTTTTGTTTTTATATGTAAAGAAAGAATGCATTTAATACTTCAAAAATATGGAGAGAGGATGGGTGTATGATGATAGTTGTTGTTGTGAAAAGAAAAGCATCATAAATCTTGGTGTCCAAATTCTTTTTTATATTTTTCACTAGCTTCATTATTCTATTTATAGAGTGATATAAATAGGTATCTATTATTTTTATTAAAAATGGTTATTATTTTTTATTCTTTTTCGAATCCAAAATATGGTGAATGTTTGTTCAAATTCCATGTATATTTCATGGTATGAGGTGGAATGTTCTAGAAGGAAAAGAAAGAGAAGAAAAGAAGGGGGAACATCTCCCTAATGAAATTACCTTTATTGCCAAACATGTTATTGTTTTTACTTGAAAAAACTTCTAATTTTATTTCTATTCCTTTTAGAACATGAATATAATAGATATTTAATTACATAGGCCCAAACCTTATGTTCAATGAGCAATCACTCATTTATTCCGCTACTTTGTGTTAACTTCATTGCATAACTCTTTTGGTAGTCACCTTAGCCACGTATAAAATCAGCGACGTCTTCAAATCAAAATACACAAAATAGTTTTAGGATTAATTGCACTTAAACACCCTATAGTTTCACCTAATTTGCACATATGAACTCCCAGTTGTATTTGACTACACTTAAATACCATTAAATTTTTAAAAGTTGCACTTTAATACCCTTAGTTATGCAAACGAGAGAGTTTCGCCCCACAAGTTCTCATTAGGAACGCACATACTTACATTAGAATATTTAACTCTTAATATGTGATAAATTCATCGTTAACCATATCAAAATTCTATTTTAAAATAAAATTAGGTAGATCCAAAATAGAAATTTGATATGTTCAACAACGAATTTAACAAAACATAAGAGTTAAAATATTATAAAACTAGAACGTGAGTGTCGCTCGAGATTTTTTGGGGGAAATTCTCACCTTCAATATACTAAGGGCGCCGAATGTAACTTTTAAAAACTTTAAAATATTTAAGTGTAAAATCGGTGAAACTATAATATGTCTAAGTGCAATTAACCCATAGTTCTATGTGAAGTGGGGTCCTATTACTTCTTGACCAAAGTGGGGTCACGTGATCCCCTGTTGTTCACGGCATCACATATGTGATGGAGTATTATTATACAAAACAAAAAAAGGCAGAGAAAGAAAAAGTAGAAAAAATGGTTGTATGATGTAGAATATTTTAGAAACAAAAAGAATGAGAATATGTCCAATTTTCATTCAATTTTTTGACTACCCTGGCAATGTTTTTTTATATAGTAGTATATATTTATAATATTACCAAAATAGCTTTATATTCTGAATATGAGTTTCCATTGTCCTTCAAACTTTTTTGCTACCATCACTTGGTTTTTTTATAGAATAGTACTAGTATTATTGCACATGCAAACACGCGTGAACCGCCATTAAAACTTAATTATTCTAATTTTTATATATGAGTCATTTTAATACCTTTTGTATTATAGATATTTCTAAGATCTTTTTATGATACTTACTCATATAATTTGCAATATTTTTTCTTAGCTTAATCGAAATTAGGCATGACATAATTATATTAGAATTATTGAAATCCTAATTGCTATTTTTATTTTATTTATTTATATAAAAAACTATATCATTTTACATTTATAATTGGGAAAATTGCTTCTAGACCCCAAATTTGAATTTTCAATGTGCCCCAGCCCCTCCTATTTTTTTAATGTTCTTTAGCCCCTCCTTTTTGAAAAAAATATGTTCAGGGCCCTCCATCATGATTCCAGCTCATGCCAGCAGTTGATTAGACATGTCAGCTCATGATTAGACATGTCAGCTGACTTAAATCCCGAATTTACCCTCCTCTTTCTCATGTCAGTGGATGTTAACTCTTTTCTGTAACATGTTAACTCTTACAGGTAACATGTTAACTCTTACAGCTAACATGTTAGCTGTAAGAGTTAACATATTATAGAAAAGAGTTAACATGTTACAGAAAAGAGCTAACATTATTGTGCCCACGCGAAGTTCCTCGGGACGGCGCCGACGATGGAGGCGGGGCAGGACACAAATGGGGACCGGAGGAGGAGGAGGGAGGTGTAGGGGGAGGTGCACGGGGGAGGGAGGGGAGAGGGGAGGGAGTCGGGGGAGGTGCACCGGGGAGGGAGGCGGGGGTGGGGGGCGTGGGGAGAGGGAGGCGGGGGAGGTGGCACCGGGGAGGGAGGCGGAGGACGAGGAGCAGGGGAGGTGCAACGGGGGAGGGAGGCGGGGAGGGAGGAGGGAGGCCAAGCTGGGGAGGGAGGCAGGGCGGGGGCAGAGGGGGGAACCATAGGAGAAGGAGGGGGTGTAGGGGAGTGGTAAAATGGGGATTGTGTATGGAGTTTGCATGAGAACTTGGGGAGGATGGGCTTGGACATAATTTTTAAAAAAAGAGGGGGGGGGGGGGGGGGCTAGCAGCACATGTTTGAAAGTTGGGGGGCTGGGGCATATCCAAAGTTGGGATTTGGGGCTTGAAGCAATTTTTTCCTTTATAATTTTTATAATATAAAATGTAATCGCACAAATGGGGACCGGAGGAGGAGGAGGGATGGTGTTAGGGGGGAGGTGCAGGAGGGTAGGCGAGGAGGGGTTGAGGGAGTCGGGGGAGGTGCACCGGGGAGGGAGGCGGGGTGGGGGGCGCTGGGGAGAGAGGGAGGCGGGGAGGTGCACCGGGGAGGGAGGCGGAGGAAGAGGCAGGGGAGGTGCAACGGCGGGAGGGAGGGCGGGAGGAGGGAGGAGGGAGGCCAAGCTAGGGGAGGGAGGCAGGGCGGGGGCAGAGGGGGGAACGATAAGGAGAAGGAGGGGTGTAGGGGAGTGTAAAAATGGGGGATTGGTGTATGGAGTTTGCATGAGACTTGGGGAGATGGGCTTGGAGCATAATTTTTAAAGAAAAGAGGGGGGGGGGGGGGGGGCTAGCAGCACATGTTTGAAAGTGGGGGGCTGGGGCATATCCAAAAGTTGGGATTTGGGGTCTTGAGAGCAGATTTTTTCCTTATAATTTTTATATATAAATGGGATGTAAATCTGCGGTCATTTAATTTAATTAAACATATGCTTTAAAAGTTTAGAATAGTAAAGCAAAGAGAAATATTTTTAATATTGATTTAGTAAGTGCTAGTACAGATGTATTTAAAGAAAAAATGTTATTTAAGAGCTATATGAGTGCTTATCGCTTGGGAAAGCAAATGCCATTACGGCAGGGTGTGTGTCGCTGTGTGCTCAGCCAGGTACAGGCTCCATATGAGGTCGCTGGTCCGTCAAATTTGCAAACGAGCAGTGTAATTATGGCTTGCTTTTTGTGAGAAATTCGCTCTTCGCTTTGTCCGTGCGTATCTCACTTATTCGTGGTTTTGTTCAGATATCTTTGTTGCTTCCGCCCGGAGAATAGCTGAAGGTGAGAGTGATTGGGATGACGTGTTCTTAGCCCTTGAAGTTGGAAGCCCATCTGTGAGCAGTTGTTCGTACCGACTGCTTAGTGCGTGAGTTCGAAGTTCCGAAGCACATTAACTTTCCTCTTGCGGATCGTTCATTGTTCGTCGAAGTTCCCAGTCTGTCAGGTTGGTATCACCGGATCCGCGGGCGGAATGCTTCCGCGGCCAGTACTTGGACGGGCCTTCGTTGAGTTTTCCGGTAGGTCCGTAGTGCGGAGAACATGTTTGGGAATGAGAGCTTGCTGTGATTTGGTCCTGGATTTTGCAGGCGCTTCATGTCTTTGGTCTCTTGTCCCGCTTTTTTTGCTTTGGTCGTAATGTGTTCCCTGGTGGTAGTTGTTTATTTGTCCATTATTTTTGTCTCTGTGGATTTTAATGTCGGATTATTTAAACAATAGTTATTTTTTATAGCAAAAATTTTTATAGGGAAAAGAAAAAAGTATAGGGGAGAGGTTGCGAGTGGACGAGAGTGGATGGTAGGGATCTGCGAAGAAGAAGGTAGGCAGATCAAAGCGGATGAACGAATAGGACCGCGTTGGCCTGCCGTTCCGAGCGTAGTGTTTGTGGTTTTTCGTGGTTGTTGTTCGTTTGGTGTTTGTGGTTGGTTTTTTTTTATTTTTGGTGTTGTGTTGTTCCTGGTTTGTTTAGGGTTTGTGTTGGGTTTTTGCATTGGGGGGTGGGTTGTTTTGTTGTTTGGGTGGGGGTTTGTTGGTTGTTTGACGGCGACGGCAGCGGCGACGACGAAGAGGAGGAGGTTGAAGAGGTGACGGATCCGAAGGAGGGCGATGATGATGACGGAGATGACGATGAGGAGGAAGGAGATGACGACGACGACGACGACGATGATGAGGTTGAAGAGGTCGATCCACCGAGCGGACCTCAGATCCACTCGGTAAGTGATGATGATGATGAGGAGGAGGAGGAAGGGGATGAGGATGATGAGGGAGGCGACGACGACGACGACGACGACGATGATGACAGCGATGAGGAGGAAGAGGAGGTATACTTTACTGTTGTTATTATTATTATTTCATATTTTTAGTAATTTTTGCATTTATCTAAAAATTAGTTAGTCTTGGTTCTAAATTTGGGCGTAAAGCAGATCTGGACTGAATAATTGATTTTGTCTGATAATTTTTTATTTTTAATAATTTTCTGCCGATTTTTATGGTATTTATTAGTAATTTTTGTAAGAATAACTGATTACGTAGAAAATCTAGGGTTTAAATTTCGGCCTGAAGCAGATCTGAACAGAATAATCGATTTTGCCTATGTTCTTTAAAATAAATTTTAGATTTAGATTTTTAGAGTTACGATTTTTCAGATCTGATCAAGATTAGTTCGTAAATTTAATGTTTTTTGTTTGTTTTTCTGACTGATTATTATTTGAAGGTCTAAAACTAGTGTTTACGCAGTTCCAGACGTCCTCTCTCTCTCTCTCTCTCTCTCTCTTTTTATTTATTAAACTTTTAATAATGTTTTGTTGCTCTGTGATTTGTGCTAGATCCGTTAAATTCTTCGAAAATTTCTGACTTTATTGTAGATCTGCAGCAATTAGTTATTATATTAATATTTGCCCAAGTACTTTTTTTATAAAGAATTTTCAACCATTCATCCTTGGCTGCTCGCGCCCTGTCTCTGGGTTATTTCTCAGATTTAGGGTTCATTTTTTAAAAAAGTTTCGTCTGAAAGTTTCAGGGGGTTTCCGGCACTAAAATAGTTCTAGTCGTTGAGTTTACTTTCTGTGCTTGGGACAGTCTTTGTGTATAGTAGCTTGCATCTTGGTAACTTTTTATTCTTTTCATTTTTAGGACAGTTTTTTTTAGGCTAAATAGCGCTTAAATGCCTTTTGGATACACTTGCTTTGCGCTTATACGCCCTCATTTGTTTTCTTGCAGAATTTATGTACCCTAAGTTGTTTAAAATTGACACAATAGTACGATCTGCCATGCAAACATGAAGATTTTCACTCGAGCGTTCTCATATGACACATGCTAGTTGATTCCAAGCGTCATATAAGAACATTCTGGTGAAAATTTTCATGTTGGAATTAACTTGCTTATGTTAAACACCTTATGGTATGTAAATGCGTCAAAGGACAAGTGAGGGTATATTAGTGCAAAGTGAGTGAAACTACAAGGTATTTAAGCTCTATTTAGCCTTTTTCTTCAATATACTAGGGGCATAACTATGCTAGTCTATCAAATTATGGTATGAGATAAATTTGACGATTTATTATGTTTGTACTGACGTTTTGCCTAACGAGATAATTATGTATTTATGATCTTTTACTCGTGTTTGAGATGTTGATAATATTAGTAGTCTTTCGATAATGTAACTAAAAGAATTTCATGGCTCACAGCTGGTGGTTATAAAATTGTGTTTTTTTTTCACTTGTAAAACTTTAATAATACAAGGGTAAATTGCGGATAATCGCGCTCGTCTATACTTTCATTAGCATGTATCACCCCTCATTTAAAACAGTTATTTAATTCATAAGAAAAGGGTGGGGGGTATTCGCGATTTTATCCATCTTAGCAATAGAGGGGTGTTAATCACTACTAAAGTAGACTTTTTGGAATGTAAATTTAGGAATGGTAGGTGCTAGTAAAATAGTTATGGGGCGAAAAGTGCTTGTGAAGATATAAATGAGGGGCTTATCTGCAATTCACCCTTTAATATGTGTCTCATTGTAAACAGAAAGGATCACTCAAGTTTATGTCATGTTTGACTAACTGATAGGCGAGTATAAATATAGGAGAAGGCAAAGTCTTTGCCTTTATATATGATTTCACCCTTAGTACTTACGTATGTCAGGGATGTTTGCCTGATTCTTGGGAGATTGCATGTTATGGTCTATCAATTTCATATAGGATTTGCTTGTTATGTTGATTATGACCGGTAGATGAATTGATCACACATTTTCCCCTCGCAATAATATTGTGAATTGATCAGTGCTTTCATTTCTAATGTTGGGCTTTCTTCAGTTTGGTATTTTTGTATCCCCAATGTATCACACGTTCTAAAAAAAATTTCTTCCCTTCATCATCTCTGATTTTGTTACGTCTCTGAAGGATATGGGAACAGAATACCTTGTTCGACCAGTAGGTCGTGCAGAAGACGAGGAAGATGCCAGCGACTTTGAACCAGAAGAGAACGGTGGTGGTGCTGGTGGTGAAGATGAGGACATCGAAGAAGAAGAAGATGACGACGACGAGGGAGGAGGAGAAGCAGCCGGTGCTTCTGGAAAGGACGTTGCTCCTGCGAAGAGGAAGAGGCCAGGGGATGATGATGATGATGATGACTCCGACGATGGTGGTGGTGATGACGAGGACGACGAGAGGCCACCGAAGAGATAGACGACATGCATGATCATGATGATTGGTTTGCAACATGTGGAGATTAGGGTTAGGGTTTGCTAGATAGAAGTGACATTTTGTGGGATGATGTCCTTATTTAGCTCTGTGTAATAGGTTAGATTGCTTGTTTCTCTTTTTATGTACTTTTTTTTTTAAGTTTGCCTTCTGATTCATTTCAACTTTCAAGTAGGCGTATTATCTTAAATATGTTTAGGTACTTTGTAATATTTGAATTTTCTGAGGTCCATTTGGATCTTTAAACTGATTATTACTGCCCTTTTAAGTTTTTATTTGTTTTCTTTCCTGAAAGTCACCATAAAAATAGGATAATTATTATAAAACCATCTTCTGTTTTCAATTTTAAGTGGGGTTGTGTTGCAATCACCTATCTGTTAGCCAAAATTTTTAACTATAAATCTGAAAATACCCTTAGAATTTATCATTAAAAACTTATTGAAGACATGTGACTCATTTTTTTCTTGTGAGGATATAAGGTATATGCTTTGAATGTGAAATTTTTTAGGTTGTTTTTGACTTTTAGTGAAAGTTGAATTAGGAGGTGGTTGATTGCAACTTTTAAAGATGGTTCGTGAAAAATTGAAAAATCTAAGTTTCTTTTTGGCTTTTATTGTTTGTTTGGATTGAGGGGAATGAGGGTGAAGGGAAGTTAGGGGAACCATTCACCTCCATTCACCTTGTTTGGGAACACTTAGGAGGTGAAGTTAATTCACCCTAGTTCCCCTTGATTCACCCCCTAATAGTATAAAAATTGTTACCCCCAAAATTGGGGTGTAACCAAGGGGAAGGGAACTCCCTTCCCTTCCCTTCACTCAGTTTCCCTTAACTTCCCTTCACCCCCTACAAATCCAAACAAGCCCTTAGTGAAAGTTGGATTAAGAGGTAGCTGGTTGCAACCTTTAAAGATTGTTCATGAAAATTTAAAAAACAAATGTATTTTCGGTATGATTACCTTAATTTTATGAAAAATTAAAAATTAAATGTGGTTTTTGTATAATTAAGATTATTTTTGAGAAAAACAGTTTCTATTTTAGTTTTTGTTTAATTTTCTTGCTTGGATTTTATGGTGCTAATTATAAAAGTGTTTAGGAATTACCCTTTAAATTATTAACTTTAGGGGAAAAAAACCAAAAAGAATAAAACTCAAATAATTAACAAATCATCAACTTTGGATTCCACAAGTAGCTGAATAATTTTTTTTTTAATACTCTTACATAGCCTATCGATGAATCTTCAGTTGGGGGCATTTTTAATTAAAACAAAACCCTTGTTCTAAACTATAGATATTGCTAGAAATAAAAGCTGCAATCAAAAGAAAGTTTGAAGGAAACAAAAACTTGTAAATTCTATTTAATTCTTAATAAAAATCAATAAAGATGTGTCTGGAATACCTTTTTTTCTTTTTTTTTGAATGAATGGATGCAACTTTTTTTATCCATGAACTAGCATTATTACACGTGCCATAGATATTAAACTTATTTATTCTATATTTTATACAAAAAGAGCAAATTATATTTTAATACCCTAAACTTCCATTAGTTTCTTAACTTTTATATCCTACTCCAAAATAGTTAAAATGTAATTTTATAAAAATATAATATTGTAATCTTATTCAAGCATGAGAATATTGCTTTCTATGTACTAAATATCAATGAACTCTTTGTAGAAAATACTTTTTTCTCAAAAACATAACAAATTATAAGGAGTTGTTAAAAAAATTCCTATTTAAAATTTAAAGCGATATGTACTTAATAGTTATTTCAAAAATGAAACTTATCATTTTATATTTTAATCTCTTATAACAAATAGCTTGATGAATATGTACTTATGTTAGTTCAAATTCTATTTTCATTCATGAATTAGAATGGTCTATACAAATAAGAAGTTGGTGAATATTAATTATCGTGAATGAAATCATATCCTCGTTCATAATTTAGAATCTTCTAGAAATAAGAGAAGAAACAAAAGAAGGGGGGGGGGGGGGGGGGGGGGGGATCTTTAATTGTGCGAAAAATACGCAATATGCTCATTACGGCCCCCTTTTTTTTGCTATTATGAATGGAAAATACTCTTCAATCTTTTCGGTACGCCGCCGCAATTTTAGGGTTGGGCAGGAGCTGTTCGGACGCAGGCGGGAACGCGGCCCAACCCCCGTTTGCAGTCTAAACTTCAGGTCAGCCCAAATCCGTGTCCTACATTAAAGGAGGGTCGTGCTAGAGGGCTGGATGGGCCGTTAAACCCGACGGGTGCCGCTTAACGGGCCTGAACTAGCCAGGCCCACGCCCATCCTACGGTTCCGACTAAGATTTTAATATAGTAGTGGATGTTTTTGTTGTTGTTGCATGAGTTGTAAAGGGAACTATTATGTTAGAATTGAGAAAAAAAAATGAATCTCTTGATACACACGCAAGTGGAGAACGATGTGGCGAAGTTGATAACGCTTCACGCTAAAATAAGATATAAATATACAAATAAAAATTAATTTAATAGAAAGGAATAATATAGTGGGGCATATTGCTCCGGTGGCCTAAAGAATAAATAAGAAAGCAGCACATCGTTGAGTCAAAAGAAAAATGTCTCAGGGATCCTAAAATAAGGGACCCAATAAGGTGTTGTCTCCCTGTCCCGTGATGTAATATTTATAAACAGTGCATCACGGGACAGGGAGGTGACACCTCACATGTCCCATGCAAGGTCCCTTATTTTGGGGTCCCTGTAGCAGCACTCGAGTCAAAAATACCCTCTCGCTTAAATGTGTTTTTCCCAAACAAAAAATAAATAATATAATTTATAGGGATGTTCTCACAGAAATTTTATGCGGGACTAAATCTGGTCAACTTCCCGTGGGCTACATATAAAAACCCACTTTTCTCAGATTTTTCTGGCCCACGAAAGGCTGACACCCGTACAGATAGCTTGAGAGAGCCACCGAAATGAGACAGTTTTATAAAATATAAATTATTGTAATCTTACTATTCTTTTGTGTAGTGGAAGAACCTTCATATTGGAGAACTATAAACTCTTGTGCTCCCATTACTATCTTAATTTATAAGTACCTATCTTAACTTCACGAGGCGGGAAAGACCGAGTTTTCCCAACAAATATTGACAAGTGATCTCCTTTTATTTTCAAAAACTTCGAATAGTATTGCTTCAAATAAATTTAAAAGCTTGTACACACATTCTACAATAAAACTTGCAAATAATACAGCTACATTTCATTTATTAATATAATCATACAACAACATTGATACAGAGGTAATAAGTAAACTAGGCAACCAATTCTGACCAAAAAAAAAAAAAAACAAAAGAAGGAAAAAGAAAAAGAGACCACACAACCGACGACGATAACGTTATATACACATAAAACTCACGATAAGCTCAATTCTACATTCATTGAACTTTTACTGCACAGGATCATCATCATCACCAAACTGAAGCTCTTGTGTTTTTGGGAGAAAGTTTTCATGCCTGCATGTGATTCAAAGGCAACAGAGAGGAGGAGGAGGTTAACTACTATGTTGACAATATGAGTCCATAACTCATTTTATAACAAAGATTTTTGATGTCGCTTTCGAGCTTGATTTATGTGCATGTACATTATTTGGGAAAATTTGGGACCCAATAATTCATCCCTTTAGAACTGATTCACATCATTTGAATTGTCTGTAATAAAAAAAAATCAGGTATATTTTACTTAAAAGAAACTAAAGAAACAAGTCAAAATACAAAGCGGACTTTATTTTGTGTCTTGCTAGTGCATGGATAATTAAGATAAAAAAAAAAGCTTGGAAGTTTTGGCTTTAGAGCAATTTACATGATGGATCAAGTTTAACACAGTGAATTTTTTATATGATTTGTCAAGCTTTGAATTTGAATGGAAAGAGTTTGACTTTGAAGCCTTCTCGACTTACTAAAGCGTAACACATAATCCACTCGGAAAATTGGTCAACATCAGCTAGAGTAAATAAGATTCAAGTATTCCAATTTTTGCTTTGTGTATTTACTAGTGACAAAATGGATGGCTGAAAATAATATTTTGTTTGGTTTGCATAGAATTTTATCAACGTATTCCATTCCGACTCAGAAAACCAAAAGCCCTTAAGAAACCAAATTTTTATTTAGATTTTAAACATAAACATTAAACCAATCAATTCACCTATTCGTTCATTTACTGTCTCTTTCTTTATCAATCTATGTGTTTTTGTGTTTACTAGTTAATGACTACTAAAAGGTCAGCAGAAATTTACTTACCAGTATTTTAAGAAGGTATAACAATAACCAAGCTGAAAAGTACAAAGTGGCACAAAACGAAGCTGCCGAAGTCACATTAGACATCAAGCGCTTATTATCCCTCGGTATAAACGCCAACTTCAATACATTCGTCAGTTCAAATATCCTATGCGCAACCTGCAAAGAATGCAATAAATAAAGGCATCAAAATTAGTCTCATATGAAAATGCATTTAAGACTTTTATGTGCATACCGCTACATAAATCGCTGTAGTGAGCATGAAGTTGAGCATAGGGTAATTGGGGATAAGGGATAGCAGAGCTCGTGGCTGATCATCGGGACCTCCAGTTCTGTGATTTGTAATAGAAAAGTCTTAGAGATTCATGCATAAGAAAAGGAGGGGGAAAAATGAAGCAAGCACTTTATGTTGGAATAAGTGATCATTGTTACTTGAGCCAGATGTGGAACTGTGATATGTAGGTCTCGAGTGTTATTTTTCCTAGCCACCTGAACGAGCAAAGAACTAGAATATATCAGAAAAATATTCTTGTTGTGATAAATATGAACTTACATAAATGAAATCGTGGAATATAATGGGGTACGTAAAGATAGCGGCAGATCACTTCTTACTTACGCGAGGAGAGTGAGAGTGCAGCTCCTGAATTGTTGTGTGATATTTCTCAAGCATATGTAGATGCTAAAATATGAACAGAATGTATCAGTTTGAGGTATTAAAAGTATCAGGGAAAGTTTCACATAACCCCCTGAACTTTAGGTGTTTTTTATATAACTGTGAAAGTTCATGGGAGTTTTCTTTTTCTCTTTCCTAATTTATAAAGTTCAGGACGGGTTTGTGCAAAACACCCCAGAGCCCAAGGGTGTTTTTGTGAATTTAAGTGATGTCTTGTGAGTGTATAACAAATTGGCACAGGAATGCATACGTTATTGGGATCCATGATGTGTAGGGATGGTATCTGTTGTACGTATACTTCTCCAATTTATATATGTATTCATACCAAAAATAACCTGCCTACAACAACGAAAGGAAATTACAAAATAAGGATGTAACAATTAGAAAAGAAAAAGGAAAAAAAGATTCATGGATTTGTGAAATCTACCACTAAACAAACTGTTATGACAACTGCTTTAATTAATATTCTCAGTTTTGCTCCAGTTTCCTCAAGTTTCTCCATCCACTTTTCAACCTACATTCAACAAGAAAAAGGGTTATCTCAATTAGGAAAGTCATAATAATGCCCAAATATAAGAAGTGGCTCCAAAATAACCATAAAACTTACAGTTGGATGATAATATGCATAGATCATTCCCACAATCCATATGTATCGATCAAGCCCAGCACGAAAATTCCATTCATGCATCGGTGGATATTTTGTTGATGCATGTGGATCATTGTAAGCTGCAGAAAAAGTGGATTTTTTTATATATATGCATATCTTAAAGAAACTAAAGAAACAAGTCAAAATACAAGGAAACTTCTTTAGAGAAATACTGACCTAAAAGGAATGCAAATGGGCGCCAAACAAAATCATAAACACCAGGGACCTCCCACATCACAGCAATCACCAAAAAGCAAGCAGCGATTTTTACAGCAATTACCCATCCACGATCATTGTATTTGTTCATAAATCCAAGAGCGAAGTAGACAAGGAGAGTGAAAAAGGTGTGCATCGGGCAAATGTAATACAGCATGTAATGATTATTAAGGACAATGCAGCAGAAGGCCACAAAGAAATTAAGTCGCCACATCATCTGTTCAATATGACACATTTTTGTTAGAATTTTATTTGATTAATTATGGATATATCTCTGTACTATTACCCAATTGAGAATATACCCATGTAGCTTTAGGGTTGCAGATAGACCCCCTGGGTGAAAACTTTTTTGACTCTTTTACCCATAGGATGTTTATTTGTCAAACAACAATCTTCCCTTTCAAGAGTTAAAAAAAAAGAAAAAAAAAAGAACCACTCAGAGGGTCTATCTGCAACAGTTAAGCTAAAGGGAGTCTACCCGCAATTGGACTATACTATAGGGGTCTATCCGCAATTAGCAATCTTATATGATGTTACTGAAGAATGCAAACAAAGTTTGAGGAGCGGAATTGTTAGAAGGATTGTCAGTCACCTGAGCAAACCGTGCCAAGCTGAAATCCTTTCTAACATAATAGTATGAGAAGTTTCCAAATCCAGTCATCCAAACATATGCAGCAATAAAAACACGGATTGCATTGTAGATTTCTTTTGCAGCAAAGTAGTGATACATCACAAACAGTACCTGCAAAAATATAAAACAGTCTGAGGAAACCCATATTGCAGGCCAAACAAGAAAATATACCATTGGAGGTTTAACTGTCAATTAAAAAAATGTTCCAGTGAGCAAAGTGGAAAACATATCAGCTGGGCATTCTCTTCCAAGAAATTGGAGACGTTGACAAACATGCTTCGGAGTTATACCAGAATGAAGATTAATCTTTCAGCTATTTCTAGAGTTCAACCAAGAAGCCGTTAGTTACTAGAATAGTTAATCCACCACATCCATGTATAAGATAATTAAGTGTACTGATTTAAACAATTTATGCAGCATCAAGGAAAAAATAGCCCTAAGCAAGACGAGTAAACTAGCAAAGTCATGAATCACGAATATAAAAGCATCTCACTATAGAACTAATTTTTTTTCTGTTCTACGATAAAAAAGCTATGTTTGAGTATAATTCACCTGCATCCACCCCTTCCATTCCTCTGTCTGATGCCTATTAAGATAAAGTATAGATTTCCCTGAAACTGGGGACGTCTCATGATGGACCTTAAAAGAAGTCATTGCTGCCACGACGATCAAAAGAAAGTAGAGAAAAAAGAATATGTCCCTGTTGTACACCTGCAAGTGACCATTTATTAGTATGGTGGCCATATCTATCACAAATAATAATGAACAAAGAGAATTTGCAAGACATTGACTTAAACTTGGAGCATATTATATACAGTGATATGGTAGAATCACTGCATGGAAAACATTCTACAAGCTTCTATCTGACAGGCAGTTGGGCTTCGTATATGAATTTTGTTATACTTAGCGGTATTCAATTTAGGAGTTCAATTTAGACAGTAGTACTTGGTTTCTGACTCTGATTGGACAAAATTGATGGGTTTGGCATCACATCTACTATTTAGTCTGGGTAGCTTTTGACTTTATCATTCTTTAATATTTCCCGCTACTTTGGCTGAACATAACATATAAATGGCGTAGTACAGTCGTAGTGTTACTTCAACTCTTGTACACATAAAATATTCTATCGGTGATGGCATTTTGTGGTTTAGTCGAAAACAGCTAAAATCATGGATTACAATCCACTAAAATCTTGAAAAACAAAATTTAGTATGCATAAAATACTCTATCCAGGACAGCAACATTTGGTCAAAAAGGGACAAAATCATGGGTCATAGTCTTTAGAAATTCAAAAACTTTGGAGTACGCATAAAATATCCCATGCGGGACGGAAATTTGTAATTTGGCCAAAAACGGCCAAAATCATGACCTATTGGCCACAAATATTTGGAAAATTTGGGGTACGCATAAAATATTCTATGTGCGACAACAACTTACATTTGGTCGCAATTAGTCACGATTATAGGTACTATTTCGTAAAAATTAGAGAATTCCATAGAATGCATCATATATTCTATAGGGGACGACAACTTGTTATTTGGTCAAAAATGTTCACACTTATGGGTTAATTTTGGAGTACACAAAATATTTTATGAAGGACTCCCACTCTAAGTTGCATGGAAACAGATGCAGGTACAGGTGCGGGTTTGGCTACAAGACAGCAAATTGTTAAAATGTAGGGTATAGGGACACGATTACATATATGTATTGAAATCAATAATGTACATGAGATTGTTTTTTTTTTCATTTTACGTGTCATTGGAGTTAAAATTCCTATCACATTTTAAAGTTTTTTAGTTATGTTAGACTATTATAAATTGGAATGTTCATATACATCGATCCTTTAAGCTTGTAGTTTTGAACTTCATTGGCCTAAAACGAACCCGGCACACGTCTATCGAGTTTCAAGAAATGGACGTGAAGTGTAGGATATATATCCAAGTGTATGGAAAGTATTTTAAGTAACATATATCATATAATTTACAAGTTTGAATAAAAGTATGCATATACTGAAGGAGTGTCCATGAAGTTTGGGTACAAGAATGTGTGCGGTACGGGTACAGCTTCATGATAGAAGTACCCAGGTAAAATAGCTCCCACTTGCGATTAAATCGAAAAATGACCAAATCATTGGTTTTGTCTATCGAAATTTAGGAATTTTGAACTAACTATAAAATATTCTGTGTAGTAAGATAATTTGTGATTTCACTGATTTGGTCAACAACGACCAAGATAATAGGTTGTAGTCGACAAAATTACAAAAAAGTTTTATTGCGCATAAAATACTCCATGCCGAGCGACAATATATGATTTGCTCGAAAACAATGAAAAATCATGGACCAAAGTCCACAAAAATTAAAGAATTTCACATACGCATAATATGTTTTATGCGGGGTATCAATTTTTTATTTCAACGACAAATATCATAATCACAAGTTATAGTCCAAAGAAATTCGAAAATTTTGGAGTGTGCACGAAATACTTTATGGGGGACGACAATTTGTAATTTGTTTGAAAATGGTCAAAATCATTATTATAGTCCACAAAAAATTCATGAATTTTAGAGTATGCAATATTATATATGAGATGAAGATTTGTGATTTGATTGAAACGCCAGCAAAATCATTATATATAGTCAGTAGAAATTTGGTAATTTCAAAATACACATATATTCTATGCGGGAAGGAAACTTTTGATAAGGCTCAAAACGGTAAAAAATAATGGGTCATAGTCCATATAAATTTGAGAATTTTTGAGCATACATGAAATATATTCTATGTGATTGAAAACCTGTGACTTGGTCAAAAGTGGTCAAAATAGTGATTTCTGTCCATAAGAAATCACGAATTTTGGCTAAACTATTTTATGCAAGACAACTTGTAATTTGGTCGGAAATGGCCAAGCTCATCGGTAATAGTCCACAAAATTTCAAAATTTTTTGGTATGCAAAAAATTATTTTAGAGGGACAACAACTTCTAATTTAGTCGAAACAGTCAAAATCATGGATTACAGTTCACAGAAGTTCAAAAATTTTAGAGTACACGTAATATATTAAATTTTGGGGTATGCGTAAAATATTTATGCGGGATGGAAATATTATATTTCCTCGAAAATGACCAAAATCATGGATTATAGTCCACAAAATTGAGGAATTTAGTAGTACACAAACTATTATATGTGGGATAGCAATTTGTGATTTAGTTCAAAAAGGCTAAAATCATTGTTACAGTCCACAAAAATTTGACGATTTCGTAGTACGCATACAATATTCTACGTGGAATGATAATTAATAATTTGGTCGAAACGACCAAAATCATTGATTATAGTCCACTCAAATTCATAAATATTTGAGTATGCATAAAGTACTCTATGTTAGACAATAGCTTGTAATTTGGTTGAAAACAACCAAAATTATGGTTATAGTCTAGAGAAATTCGGAAATTCCAGAGCATAAAATATTTTATGTGCGTTAGCAATTTAGGATTCGGTCAAAAACGACCAACATCATGAGTTATAATCCATAGAATTTTTTCGGAGGATGTGTAAAATATTCTAATTCTATGCTAAATAATAGCTTGTGATTTGGTCGAAAATAGCCAAAATCATGAGTTGGTAGTCCACACAATTACAAGAATATCAAAGTACTCATAAATTATTCAGTGCACAACAAGTGATTTCACCAAAAAAGGAACAAACTCATGGATTATAGCCATAGATATTCAAAAACGTTGAAGTACACAATATTCTAAGGGGGCAATAATATGTTGTTAGGTGTGGGGCAATAATATGTTATTAGGTCCAGGCAAAATCATGAATTATAGTCCACATAATTTGAGGAATTTTGGAGTACACATAAAATATGGACAACTTGTGATTTGACCCAAAACAACTACAATCATGTGTTATAGTCACAAAAGCTTAAGAAATTCAAAATAGTAATAAAATATTTTGTGCAGTATGACAAATTGTGATTTCGTCAGAAACGGTCAAAATCATAGGTTATGGTCTATAGAAATTCAGGAATTTTAGAATATACATAAAATATTTAGTGCATGATGACTACATGTGATTTGGAAAAAAGGTCAAAATTATTGATAATAGTCCACAAGAATTTGAGGATTTTAGAGTACGAATAAAATATTCAGTGCAAGATAACAGCTTGTAATTTGGTCAAAATGCTCAAAATCATGAGCTATACTCTATAAAATTTGGAAAAATTAGGAGTATGCAAAAAACAGTCATTTCTCTCAAAAATCACATTAAAATAGGATCACTACACAATAACCACCTTCGATCATCAATTAATTCATAAACCACCTCTAAACAGTCCATAAAAATTCAGAAACTTTTTAATACACAAAATTTTGTGATGGATCACCTAGAGATTAGGTTGAAAACAGCTAAAATTATTTAGTAATTTTGGACTATAAACAAAATATTGTGTCTTATGACAATTTGTGATTTGGTTGAAAATGGGCAAAATCATGTATTAAAATAAATAGAATTTCTAAAATTTTTAAGTATGCATAAAAATACTCTGTGGAAGGAAAACTTGTGATACAGTACAAAAAACAAATAATGGATTTTAGTCTAAAGAAATTCAAGAACTTTAGCGTAAACATAATATATTCTAGAGTGGGGTGGCAAGTTTTATTTCATCAAAAACAGTAAACATTATGGTTTATAATCCACAAAAATTTGGAAATTTGGCGTATGCATAAAATATTCCATGTGAGACAATAACTTTTAGTTTGACTAAAATGGCCAAATCCATTGTTATAGTATACAAAAATTTGAGAATTTTAGAGCATGCATAAAATATTTTATGTAGGATGATGATATATGGTTTGGATGAAAACGGGCCAAAATCATCGATTATAGTCCACTTAAAATTCACAAATTTTTAATATGAATAAAACACTCAATGTGGCACAACAACTTGTGATTTTGTCGAAAATAGCCAAAATCATGGGTTAAAGTCTATGATACCTAGATACTTTTATCATGAAGTCGCACCCATACCCGACAAGTTCCTGCATCGCATAAAAGTATTCTATGCGGGATAGCAAATTGCAATTTGTTTGAAAAGGGTAAAAAACATGAGTTACAATCCACAGTTACAGTCCACATATATTAGGGAATTTCGGAGTAAGCATAAAACATCCGATCTTAGATGACAACTTGTAAGTTGATCAAAAACAACCAAAATCAGTGATTATAGTCCACAAAATTTTGGAATTTTGGAGCGCGCATAAAAAATACTATGTGGGACAACTTGTGATTTGGTCAAAATACGACCAAACTCATCTGTTATACTTCTCTAGATTTTGGAAGTTTTAGAGTACGTATAAAATATACTAAGCAAGACACAATTTCTAATTTGGTCAAAAAAACCAAAATCATGACTTATAGACCATAGACTTTCAGGATTTTCAGAGTATGCATCTATATTTGTAATTTTACCAAGAAAGGCCAAATCATGGATTATAATCCATAAAAATTCAAAAATTTCAGAGTATGCATGAAATATTTTATGCACGTTGGCAATTTGTGATTTCGTAAAAAATGACCAAAATTATGGGTGACCACATAAATTTGAAAATTTTAGAATACATAAAATACTCCATGCGAAGGAAAGCAACTTGTGATTTGATTAAAAAATAGCAAAAATCGTGGATTATATTCCATAAGAGTTGGGGAATCTTTTAGTATGCGTTAAATTTTCTACACAAAACAACTTGTAATTTGGTCGAAAATGACCAACTTGTAATTTGGTCGAAAATGGCCAAATCATGTGACATAGCCTATAAAATTCAAAATATTTTGGAGTACACAAAGTATATTCTATGCCAGACGGTAATTTATCATTTTGTCAAAATGGTCAAAATAATGGATTGTAGTCTAGTGAAATTTTAGACTTTTGAATATGTATTAAAATACAACTAAATTACCAAAATGGTATTTTTAACACCCTTTTACCAGTTTGGTATGTTTTGCTTCTCCGACGGACTTTCTAATATTAAAAGTCCACTAAAAGTCCAATTATGCAATTTTTTCGTTGCCGTTGGTGATAAAATTTGGTAGGTAAAATGCATGTGACTTCATTTAAACACAAGCACATTGAAGTTCTAATATCCCTCAAACTAATCATGTAAGATCACATGCATTTTATCTTCCAATTTTATGGTTAGCTGTAAGGAAAATGCCTAATTGTACATTTGGTAGACTTTTAGTACCAAAAAGTTATTGGGGGAAACAAAGAATACTAAACTGCTAAATGTAGGCGTCAAAAAATGCTTACAGACATCCAAATACCACTCAAGACAAAGAGAAAGTGGTAAACACCAGTCTCTTAATCAGAGGGGATCATTCAAAGGAAGTGAGACAACATAGAAGAACAATATACACATCATCAATAGAACGTGTGCTGACGTGGACAAGCAGTTAAACCACGAAAAAGGTGGTTAAAAGTCATGGGAAAACAATTTTAAGCACGATGGAACGTGCTGGTAACTGCCCCTGTGGCCGCTGCAGTCCATGCTGCCGCGCCAATAGCCGCGGCAGTGTTGGCTGTCGCGGCCAAATGGCAGTTACTTGGTCAGTTGTTTCATCCCCGTTTCAACTGTTGTGTACTCCTACCCCTATAAATACCCCTTCCTAGGCACGAAATAAAGGACAGAGGACAGATTGGGGCATAGAGACTTGAGCTTTTGGTGAATTAGAGTAGGAGAGAAGTCTTCCTTCTTCACAAACATCCTCAAGAAGCTTTTGGCGATTCCTAGAGATCTAAGCTCAGACTTGATCTTTGAAAGAGTGAACATCTTACATCGATAAGATATTCGCTTAAAGATTCTTACTTCGATAAACGAAGAAGAATATCCAAAAGCCTTCACGATTCAATTAGAATCTGTGAATCGATGGTCCACGGGCTAACGCACCCCCGGCACAGGCAAAGATCCCACGAAAGCAGTGATCCAAACAACGATCATGCGTTTGTTTCTAAAAAATTGTAATCTTCCTTTTGTTGTGTAAAAGAAGTCTTATAAAAAGACTATCTCTTTTGAATTTATTGTAATCGATCGAAGATATAATGAATTCCACAACGAGACCAACTTTTGACGCAAACACTAAAGAGGTGCTAAAAATACCAATTTAGTAATTTAGCCCATAAAATACTATATGCGGGATGACAACTTGTTGTTCTGTCAAAAATAAATAAAAATCATGATTTATAACACTTAGAAATTCAAAAAATTTTGAGTGTGCATAAAATATTCTATGTGGGAGATAATTTGTGATTTGGTCGAAAGCGGCCAAAATCATAAGGTAATTTTGGAGTTTACATAAAATATTTATATGGGACAACTTGTGATTTGTTCGAAAACGGGCAAAATTATAGGTTATAGTCCAACTAATTTTCGGAATTTTGGAGTATGCATAAAATATTCTTTACGCGCTGACATTTTTTTATTGGTAAAAAAGGTTAAAATCATGGTTTATAGTGCACAAAAATTTGGCAAGTTTAGGACATGAATAAATTATTGGACGGATATTTGAAGTACATATAAAATATTTTCCACATACTAATTCATTTAAAGTCATTTAAATTTGTGGTGCTTAGGTATTTTATGCGCGATGACAACTGTTCGATATACATCATTATTCTAGACTAGGTTTCTTTAAAACTGTGCTGATATAGGTAAGAAGGGAAAAGAAGAGAATTATAAATTTAATCCTGTTTGGGAGTTTTATCAAAAGGATAAAGAAGGGAAGAAGATGAAAAGTTTTCGTAAAAATTATGAAGAACCAGCACCCTCCCCTAAATTAGGCGGTAGCAGAGAGAAAGAAAAATGAGGATAAAAATTTTAAGGCATAGAGACAAATTTTCCCTCCATCAAAATGAATGAATGGATATGACATAATTGCCAAACCCTAACATCTCAGCCATCGTTCTTTTTTCTTTTTTTCCCCCCTCTCTCTCTCTCTCTTGCTCTCCCCCCCCCTTCTCGCTCTCTCTGCTCTCCGATTTCACCTCTCCATTGCGGCACTCTAGCTCTGATATCTCCTCCAGCTCTGTTGCCCTCATCATCCGCTTCAACTTTAGCTTCCTTGCTCATCATGTGCTTGTGGTCGCTTCAGGTTTTTTTCGATTTTTAATTTTTCAGTTATTTATTTTTATTTTTTTTCATGTTCTGACCTATCTGTATTCTGTAATAGATGCATTGATTCATGTATATTTCCCCTTTGACTTTTGGTCAAACCTAGTAGTTTTGACAAATTTGGGTGAATTACAGAAATCTAGTAATTTTGACAAATTTGGGCAAATTTCTCAAGCCAATCTCCTAAATTAAGGAAGTTTGTCAATCTTGTGCTGTGATAATTTTTGTCTTCTGTTGGCATCTGCTTGCCTAGAAGCCTTGTAGTGATTTTTCTCAAAGTTTGAATGGTCTCTGCCTTCTACTGGATTTATTAAGTACTTACTTTGATGGTTTGCATACAGTTTATTTACAGAGCCTTCACCCTTGCATACAACAACTATCGTGGAGAGATGTACTCTCAAATTTGTTGACGAGTACAAACATATGCTATGCCAAGCCACAGAGCCATTATCAACCTTTTTGGAATATTTTATTAAATTAGATACAAATTAATTATATATGAAACTTTTTGGTGATTAGGTTTGAACAATGATGGAAAATATTGTTTGCTATGCATATTTTATTAAATTAGGTTTGAATTAATTAAATATTAATATTCTTCCGTATAAAATAAGGACCATATATATATATTTATATATATTATATATTTTTTTATAGTATATATTTATATTATGGAAAAATAGACTTTAAGTGGAGACTAAATCCATCTAGTTTCCTATCCATTGATGAAAAATCTTTCATTGAGCACGACTTTAGTAAATCAATGGATAGAAATTTGTGGATGTCATTAAGTTAATAAGTTTCTTATATATATATATATACTATATAATATATATATATATATATAATATAATTATATATAATATTATTATATATATATTATTATATTATATTATAATCAGAGAGAGAGAGAGAGAGAGAAATTGTATCTGGTACAAGCACAAAAGTTGTGCTGAGTGAGATGTAACATCTTACTATTAATAATGTTGCATATCCCACATCCTCAACCCATGTAATAATGGGTTGCCCTTGAATGTGAGGGGATTTGTCATCTATACCAGATCCAGTTTTTTACTATATATTATATTATATATTATATTTTTTATATATATAATATATTATTTATAATATAATATAATGATTCTACTGGTTTCATAATTAATTTGTGTATTGTCTTATCACATGTTATTTTGATAAAGCTTATGTTATTTTATATAGATATATTTTATTTTAAATTATTTTGTAAGCTAGTGATGTTATGTTGTAGGTTGTTTCCTACAAAGTCTATGTATGTTACTTTTATTTTGAAAGTAAGTTCTTATAAGCTTGTGTATTAGGAATATGCAAGGCATTACCAATAGTAATAATAATAATAATGATGATGATGATGCACAATCAATTTCTAAGTATGGAACTTCACCTTTTTTTATCATTTATTAGTTGTCAAAATGTTTTACTAACATGAAAGTTCATTTGTTAAATTTACATATATTTTCTTCCCTTCCCTTCACATCCCTTCCCTTTATTAGAACTCTCAAACAAGTTGAATTAAGTTCACATTCTTCTCTTCCCTTCCCTTCCCTTTATTAGAACTCTCAAAAAAGTTGAATTAAGTTCCCCTTCTTCCCTTCCCTTCCCTTTATTACAATTTTCCTTCCCTTCTCTACCTTCCCTTCCCTTCCCTTTATTACAATTTTCCTTCCCTTCTCTACCTTCACTTTTCCTACTTTATCTTTCCCTTCCCTTTCCCTAGTGAACTCCCAAACATAGTGTGAATTTAGTTTTCTTTTCCATTTTCTGCTATTTTGGCTGAACATAACATATTCTAGCTAAGGTCATGGCATTAATTTCAACACATGTTAAATGACTTTGTTCGGTCCACCTAGTGCCATCAACAACTCATAATAGAATACCTCAATAAAGGTAACACAAAATAAGGGACTGAAGGCTACTTAAAAGCACTTAAGACTTGCTTCATCAAATTTAGGATGAGTTTATCTTTTTTTATTCTAACTTAAATGTTCACTTATAGCTTCGTTTTATAATAAGTTTGTACCCTTTGGTGCCCCTTCAAGGATTAGACACCAGTACCTCATTCTCAATCCTCTTGTTTACGTCTTTAACACTCTAGGCGTTATATATATGGTAAAATTTGCATTCTCGGAGGACAAAATTTCAGTTTTTTTCCTTTTTAATACTGAACAGGTTTACATAGAATAATATTATGGTGCAATGTTTCTTCAAATACTCCATCTCAAAATGCTAATAAAAGCTCACCCTTTTTGATTCTCCAAATAGATCCGTGCGGTCACACAGATAATATAAGACCATGAAAGCTCCAAACTCTGACCTGAAACATAATAATCGAGAACCCTTAGCTTGAGTTGCAATCTAACAAGAATTTCATTGTCAAAAACTTAGAAAATATCTCGGCTTACATTGCTCTCAATGTCAATCTGTGTTCAACCAAGAAATCTTTATCCAACACAAGGAATCTGAACAGCTCCACAGAGAGAAGCAAATTACACGTAATAAGATTCAAGCAAACAACTAAATATTTTCAGAATATAATTTAGTAATTATAGGCACCGGAAAATGGCGGGTGTTTCTGCCGTCCGAGTCTTCGAAGATGGGGATAGTAGCCCATCCTCTAGTAAGTGAGTATTAGCATCTTCCCTAAATGGACCGATACCAAATTCGCCTACATTTCCGTCATCATTTCTGGCACTGAAAATACTATATCACATTTCCAAATTCCATATACTTAAACCACAACATAATTAAGAAATTACAGCAAAAATTACTAACAATGGAATACATATTTGCAAGAATAATAACACAAAGAGGTCTCAACCCAAAAAAAGAATGATATACAATACAAAGAATTCACCCATATTAGCATTAGAGTTTCTGCCATTAAATTAGACCATCACACCTCGAAATATAAGAGATTAAAGATAATAAAGTAAAAATTTTGGCTCTGGGTTCTGTCCCACAACACTCAAAAGCACAAATAAAGGAATGCACATTTTGCCAGGATAATCGAAATCCAATACATAAAAAACTAAAAATTTCGATCAAATTACAAAAAAAAAAAAAACTGTGTGTGCTTACATTTTGGACGCCGTTCTTCTCTTTAAATACTCCAGGAGCTCAGCATATATCCACGCTATAAACAATGGGATAAAACCCAGCAAAAAAGACACCTTTCCATCGAAAAAAAAGAGAAGAGAACAGTTAGTAGCTATAACAACTCAATGAGCTTCCAAAATCAAATCTTTTTCAGTGAACTACAAAATAATTCAGGATTTTCACCAAGAACGAGCTAGAAAAAAAAAAACCCTAAGAATCCCTTAAAAACGAATTCTTCGAGAAGACAAAGGGGTTCGTCTCACCTGTCCTCGAGTAATTGGCTTCGAAATTTCCATCAAGCATTGACGAGCATTTCACAAAAAAAAAAAAAATCGCCCAAAAAAAGAGAGGAAATGAAGAAAATTTCGTCCAGGCTGGGCTCTTTTTGGCTGGGCCAGAGAGCGGAGAGGTCCCAACTTTTAAACGAGTGAAGGGAACGACGGAACAACGTAGCTTAAACTGAGACTGACATATAAGACAAAAACCTACTTCGGCATTAAAGATTCCTTTTTGTCCCGTCACGTGTTAATAAAATAATTCAACGTGATGTTGATATCTCATATCCTGTATTATTCTTATATGCATGAGGTCGGCTTCTCTATGCGTTAGATATTTGTTCGTAATAATAAGATTAAGGATTTTTAATAAGGGTAAAGAGTATCTCTCTTGTATTGTATAAGTAATGCAAGTGAAATAGTGTAGTTGTCACCCCCTCTTTCACCATTCTCATTCTGATAATATAATTTCATATCCAGGGGGTCAAAAAAAATTTGAATCGTTCGATGGATGCATATGTTCGGATTCGAATACGGAACCGGATATTGTATTTTATGCATCGATGCACGTATCAACATCCTAACGAGTACAAATATGTTGGCTCTAAACCTCCATCATATCATATACGGATACGAATACGGATTACGGTATTCATAATAAAGTAGCAAATTGATCTTAACACGTTGTAATATAGCTCAAATGGTTAATTCTTCCCCAAGGCAATAATCTTAAAAGAATCCTAAGAAAAAAATCTGGCATTATTGGATTAAGCATTATTGCTTGGCGTAGCTTTCAAATTATACAAACTCAATCATATTTTGATAACAAAAAAAAAAAGGGAAAGGAAACAAAATTTGGCCAAACCTGATCAGCAAATTGCAATAATTGCGGCATCATGTTTATTTCGAATATGAATAGAGGAATAAAAACCATACGTATGAAAACAAAAATGTGGAGGAAATAATCACCATTCATTATTTGCCGTGCTTTCCACCATACGAACCATGAATGCAGATGCTTGCGCAATCTACTGCCAGATACAGTACTCTTATCCCATCACTCTTCATTATTGGATTTCCAATTGTGAGCTCACATACTATAACAACAACAATGATGATGATGATGATGATTGAAAATACATTACATATTTCATCTTCATGTTATAATCCCAACATGGGGATGGGGCATGAGGATGAAACTAACAAAGGAATGGGTGAGCATAATCTAGTAAAATATACATGCTGAAGCAATATACAACACAGAGATAGTATATTGATATCACATCACAAAAAAAAAAAAAAAAAAAAAAAAGAGGCCACTGCTTACCCTAGAAAATTCTAGGACAAAGCACGACGGGCGGCCTCAAAATCATGTTGAGCAGATAAAAGTTCATCTTCAATTCTTCTCGAATCCATTTCTAATCTATGCAATTCAGAGTCATTCTCTCTTTTCCTTTTGAAAATATTACTCTTCTCTTCGCGCAAACGAGTAAGAGATTTTTCTAACTCCTCGGACACGTTATTGAATGATTCAATCTGCTTATTTAACTGCTCGTTCTTCTTTTGCTTTTTACCAAGCAGGATTTTCAACGTTGAACCCTCATCAGCAAGTCGATCCTGGTTATTTTTAAGCCTTGTTAGCTCCAACAGGCGGGCTCTTATGCATTGCACATCGAAACCGTATCTCTCCAAATGATCAAGGGTCTTCAGTATGCCATCAAACTTGTGAAAGGAATCTGATATGGCCAACCTGTCGATGTTGTTCACTAAGTTGCTGAAAGTCACCATTAGACCAATAGCCATCCCTTCGCGAAAATCTTTGCATAATTTCTCCAAGGGGCGAAAATGGGGTCGTTGAGGCATCACACGAAATGCTTCCATGGATTCAAAAGAGTCCCACATTGGGGAGCATTTCTCAAATGGCAATGCTGATTGCTCTGGTGACGGAGATTTCTCCACCGGAACGCTCTTTGGTGAGTGTTCTCCTTCAGTAGAACGAAAAATGTTATCTAGTGCCTCACTAGGCTGAGCATTAGAAGTTGACGTTTCAACCAAACTACTATCCGAAGAACTTGTCACATTAAACAATTCTTGTGCCTCAACATCGCTATCGCTGCACACAACACACAGCGCTGATGAAAGTCCTTCAGTAATGCCTCCTTGAGTTCCTATTGAAACTATCGCTGCACACAACACACAGCGCTGATGAAAGTCCTTCAGTAATGCCTCCTTGAGTTCCTATTGAAACCCCTGCACATAAGAAAAAAAATCGCTGATGAAAGTCCTTCAGTAATGCCTCCTTGAGTTCCTATTGAAACCCCTGCACATAAGAAAAAAAATCAAGAAATATATAGTCCCAGACTACCAGGGTCTAAAGTTGGAACAGTCTCATTTACTCTTTTCCCATCTTGACCATGTGATTGAAATAATGAATAAAGATATTAGAATTCCGTTTGTGCTTTTGCGTGCAATGTTTGTGTCCTGATGCTCCAGCACCATGAAAACCTACTAAACATGATGTGTTTGTGCTTTTGCGTGCAATGTTTGTGTCCTGATGCTCCAGCACCATGAAAACCTACTAAACATGATGTCTAAACACTAAGAGACTGTTATTCGGTGTCCTGATGCTCCAGCACCATGAAAACCTACTAAACATGATGTCTAAACACTAAGAGACTGTTATTCGCTGTCATGAAATTGTATATTGCTTATGGTAATTAGCTAAATTAGTTTCCCTGTAGTACGATAAAATCGATTAACATACTCCAAAAGCTTGACACCACTTCACCTAGAAACTCAGAAGTATATACCTAAAAAGATATATTACCTAACAACCAACTTTACGAGTCTGGATCTTATTTCCTTAACGCTACTTATTATTGCATACTGCAGACTGCTAATCTGCAACACACCTTAAAAAATAAATCCACTTATAATGTATAGGCACCTCATCATCCCTTGACGTTTAAATTTGCAGATCTGGACATTTGAATCCTGCCTCGCATAATGCATCAATTTCCTAAGCCTGCTGAAATGACAAAGTTCCATGTTTCTATTAACTTGGCTAAATTCCAAGAAATGTAACAATAACAACTTAAAAATCCAAATCTGCAACCATCACAAATGAATTATGTTTATTAAGCTATGCCCAATATATTAATTTTAGATGGTTATTACCTTCCAATGGTGGATCTATGATCCTTATGCAGTTCTTCCTTATTTTGTCTCGTGCTGTATATTGTCCAGCTCCCTGGAAAAAGAAGCACATTTCATCATGCACTAAAAGTCCAGAAATAATTGGAAAATAAACTTGTGCTACTTTATAAAAACCTCATCTCCTTCACGATCAAGTTCAGGCACA